AGCTCTGTGGATTGTCATGGTCACTAGTGGGTCTGTCAGTAAAAGACATTGTGGTGGCTTCTAGGCAACATAACAGATATGGGAATTTGTAGAACTGGACCTGTAATTCTGAATTTTTCCATACGGTAAAGTTTGATTACAGTTGAAGACCCAGTGAGATCACACTTTTCATTACACAAATGAAGCTAGTGATTAACCTTACAATAGTTAGGTCTTTGTTGCAGAGAATATCAAAATGGAACAGAGTGGGCAAGTCTGAACCTTTTGGGAACCTCATCAAATGACCTGGTCTTTTTAATTTGGCAGCTATACTGTGAGCATTTCCAAGCCCTGGAGTGCTGAGATGAGTGATTCCACAGCAGATGAACCTATTAAGATGAGCAGACTAAATGTTAAGATGAAAAAAAAAGAAAATGATTTCTAACCTTCTCCACTCATTCTGCTAAAGAAATGTTAAAAAAAAAAAAAAAAAAAAAAAAAAAAAGGGGTTAAACTGCAGAAGCAGAGACTAGATTAGGGAAATGAGAGACTTTTCCTCCTCAAAAGACTTAAAATTGCGATGATTTCAATTGCCTTGATAAAATCAGACCTGCCTGTTAGTGCCATATTTTCTTTTGTGCATCTGTAGTGATGATAAATTTTGCATGAAATGAATGTAAATAGTTGTTTATACTTCGTTTTACAGCAGCCAGTATGTCACTAAGTCAGCACTTCTCCCCTGAGATTTACAGAATAGGTTTTAGGCTAAATTGCTGGCACATGAGATTTCAGCCAAAGGTTGTTTTCCTTTAACCATTTTTTTCTTTTTCAAATGCCTTGGCTGATTTTAGGTTATTGGAGTCCAATATAATTACTTGTTTAATTGCTTGGAAGAAGTAGAGCTTCCGTAGTTGAAAAATCGCTTATTTTCTTTAAAAATAGCTGAAATCTGGCTTGGGGTTCTCTAGAATGCAATGCACTATACAATTGTGTAATTTTATCCTCTTAAAAATTCCCTGAATAGCCATTAAATCTTTGGAAAAATAGCTAATCTCCAGGACGATGCGATAGATCTGGCTATTTTCCAGGATTTGCAAGAGGCTATGACAGCTTAACATCATAAGAAAAATGGTTTCTAAATCTCTGAAGGACAGGGTCAAAGACTCCAGAACCAGCCTCTCCTTTCAAGAGGTGACACAGAATAGAGGAGAAGATGAAAAATTGACACTAAGAGAGCTTGTGAATAAGGATGGATCAGTTTGATATTAGTCAGTGCAGCTTTTAGTTGTGATGTACCAACTTCTGTTATGGTGAAGCACAGCAGTGAAGGGGAAAAAATGAAGGAAAAAACCCCAGAGATTTAATGTTGTAGTTAGTGGAGGAGAGGAAAATAACAAACAAAGCAATAAAATAGGGAAAACTGTAGCCCACATGTTGAGAAGCCAGAGAAAATGCTAAGATATTCAGGATTGTTACTTCTGTCCTGAATACCACTCGGTGCCTTAGTGCAGAGGGTATGTATGTCAATTCCAGCCTGCTCTCCTCTCCAGAGGAGGACTGTGATGTGAGTTCCTGTATGTTCCTGTCCCTGTGTAGTCTGTCAATCTGTTCTTCTGTCTTTTACGTTATTACTTAATTGTTTTATTCAATACCAAGCAAATCTAGTGCAAAGTGAGTGCTCTCAAATACTATGCAATTCCAGCAAGTTTCATGAAAATTATGTGTTCTTGTGCAAAAAAAAGACAAGAAATTAATTCCAGAAAGGCTCCCAGATGAAGGCAGCACTGCAGCATGAGTCTTTACAGACAGAGACAGCAAAGAATCAGTAAGTAGAAGGATGGGTAGGGGGCAAGAGAACTCTCTGGAGCCACTGCCACAGGAGATCTCTGCATATTGCACTTTACCCCAAAAGCAATTCACAGAGAACCAGGTATTAGTTCCAGCACTCACAAAGCAAGGAGCTGTGCCCCTGACTCCAGCACACATGTGGAAATTTCTATTGCCTAATCTTACCCCAGCTCAATTAAACATGTTTTTGTTGGATATTTGTTTGTTTGTGGTTGTGTGATGTTTTGTTGTTGGTTGGTTGTGGGCTAGGTTTTTTGGGTCTGATTTTTTTGTTGTTTTGTTTAGATTTTGGTTTGGTTTGGTTTTGAGGTGTGGTGCACAGGGAACAAGTGCACTGCATTTGTGAGCTTGATTTGCCATATCAGCCAAGTACCAGCCAAACACATTAGGATGAGGCGGTTTGCAGGGCAAAATTTTCCCTCTACTGTTTAGGGTACCCTGCTTTGTGAGGGTATGAAAATAATATAAAAATAAATATGTATGAAAAGAAAAACATTTCTATACTGGAAGGGAATCTGGTCTCTTTGGAGATTGTTGCAAGACATATGTTGGTTTACATTACCTTTCCTCTTCTGTACATCTGAAATATGCAATAAATCCCTGAACGTCTACAAACCACAGTAGTGACTGTTTCACATGAGTGCTAAGTAGACATTTGAGAGCTTTAGGGCATTATGAGTATCCTGAGGACAAGGTGCATCTGCTTTCACCCAGATACAGACTTCTGATTGCAGCAGACAAGGATTTGGGAACGATTGGAGGGGAAAAGATTCAGTGAGGCTGCAAAACATTCACCATCTACTCTTTTCATACTGTTTTTTGTCTGGGTTGTCTAGTAAGATGATGATTGTGCAGCCTCCTTCCCTCACGTGTGCCCATTCAATTGCAGCTGTGTTGACCTCTGGGGAAAAAAGAGAAAGAGGTCATTGCCATTGTAAATAGAGGAGCTGACTGTCATCCCAAAGGCTCAAAAGGAGGCTCAAAGGAGTTAAGGATGCCATCCAGTCCAGCTCACATCCACATCAGTCTTCAGAGGGAATCAGCAGGGCTCCATCAGTGAATCAGATGAGCTCAGGGAAAGAGTGGTAATCTTGGTTTCATGTCTGGACAGCTTGATCTAATCTTGAAACAGAATATTTTATGTATTTAGAGAACAATAGTTTTGTACTTTTATGAAGAGAAGAATGTTAGTTGACATTAGTTATTCAGATGTGAAGGAGACATTTTACTTTTAATATCTCATGTTGTGTCTATTAAATCTATCAAACAGCTGATTGCAAAACCCTCTTTCTAATTGGCTTGTTTCAAGCTAGCAGCATAGAAATTTTACATGATTATGTTTTTTCTGCTAACAGAACATTTAAAGGACAAAAGAGAGCAGAAAAGAGGTGTAGAGAATCATTCAGGTTGTTTTAGCATCTTACGGTTTTATTCCAATGGATTTATAAATTTGTTGGTGTAGCAAAAGTAGTTTATGGAATTAACTTCAAGTATCTATAGATTTGAAGTTTGAAAAGAAAGATCTACTTTGAGCCAGCCTTGGACAAATACCTAACTGTTTCAGAGTTCTACAATCGAAGGCTTAGATCCCTTAGTGATCACCATCACTTTGCTTTGTTGATGAAAATGTGAGATTGAGGGGGGTTTAATACATGAATATTAAATATATAGTATAGAAACAAGGTATGACATTATAATAATTGAGGGCATTAACAAAGGTAAACTGGATATTGCCATAAGGAAAATACTTAGGAAATGTACTATTCCCAAAGAATAAAAAGCTCAGATGAGAAGTAGCAATTCTGAGAAGGCAAAAATAAACCAGACAGAGTATCCCACACAAGCCCAAGCTTAGCCACTTATTAACACACATTATGTGTTGTGTGATCTTTCTGTTGAAACTGAGCTTGCTTAGCCAGGTTTCAGCTCAGAATGGATGGCAAGCTGACTAATAAAGTTTCTAGACAGCCAAATGGACTTTGAAAAGTTTTTGAGTGAGGCATTCTTGAAGCTCAAGTTGAGAAATCTTGAAAATACCGGCTTTATTTACTATTGCTTGTATATGGGAAGTCCACACTCTTCTCATATTCTTTTACCTTAATATAGCCTGTGAGTGTTCATCAGTGACCTGTCAAGGTAGACCAGTTAAAACTTATTTGAAGCCAAGCAACCATCCTGAACTCTCATGTGCTGATTTTATTCTGGGTTTAAGCTTTTTCATCTCTATTATTTATGTTGGTGATGATAATCATGGTTGTGACGGTTGGTTTGAGCTGCTGAACCTGAAATTCTTCTGGTTTGACTTTTCAATGAACATCTGTTTTAGCAGTGCTTTTTCCTGTACATTAAGCTTCAGCTATGTGCATTTGTAGCACTTTAAATTAGTCAATGAAAAGTAAATAATGTGTCTAGATGCTCTTAATTGGTATTTCACAGCCATATTATCAACTCTGTCCTCCCTCTTGTCCTGTCAAAAGCGTACACTGAGGAATGGGATTGCTAATGTCATCCCTTGAATTCAGTTTAGGTAATCCTTCTTCTGTGAAGAAATTCCTAAATTTATTGCATGTTAGTTTTTGTTGGGGTTTTTTTCCATTTTTTCCTCCTGTATCTTTCTTTAAAGAAAACACTAGTGTATTCCACTGTAACTAGTATGTGTCCCTTGCTTTTAGTGTTTATTCATTTGAAATGGATAAATATGTTCACTTTGTTTTTTGTTAAAATAAATTGGATTCTGGGTGTCTAGCTTAATCCCTTCCAGCTTCAGAAGAAAGAGGTCTATATGGTCCTCACTTGCCACTCATAACTGGAGACCTACAGCATCAGTGTGGTGGATTACTAGTCACTTTCTTTCCTTAAAGCGTAATCTAAAACCTTCCTCTGATGAGCAGTTTGTTTTTCTTTAACACTGCTGACTCTTTCTTGCAGCCTGTGTCAAGGATTGAACTTTCCAAATTATGTATTTCAGACGTTGAGAAAGAAAGGACTTAATGGCTGTGACAGTCCAGACCCCGATGCAGACGATTCAGTAGGTCACAGCCCTGAGTCTGAGGACAAGTACAGAAAAATTAATGAAGATATTGATCTAATGATCAGCAGGCAAAGATTATGTGTAAGTACTCTGAGCTTCCTTTCATTTTTTTTACTTTCTGATATTTCTCTGAACCTGGCAGGCATTGAACAAGAAAGAAAACAAAGGTTGTGAAAGCCCTGATCCTGACTCCTCTTACGCTCTCACCCCACGCACTGAAGAAAAATACAAAAAAATTAATGAAGAATTTGATAATATGATCAAGAGCCATAAAATACCTGTAAGTACCAAAGGTTAGATGGCTGTCTGCTGATAACTGCTGCAGTAACAAACCATAACCCTTTCAGTTCTGGCTTCTTAAAGAAAACATTTCAGCTAGAAACAGGCTTTAATAGCCAAATATATAGTTAAACACTGTGGTCAGAAAATTTCACACAACATATTTTTCTTCCATTCTCTACCTCTGACATACAGACAAAGCCTACTATGGGTGAAACCTACAGAAGGAAGTGAAATATACATATACACATTATATTCACTTGATTTACAGAAGTGTTTTACCATACCACTTACCCAAATTCTACCTAAAAAATAACAATGAAAATCTCTTTGTGGACAGGCTAACAAACCCACAGAACACTTTCTGTGGTGATATAGAAAAAGTTATGTAGAACTGAAATTCCTTTATATATAGTAATCAGTGTGTTTTGTGCATGTCACTTCAGTTCTCAAGTGTCTCTGCTAAACTCAGTTTCAGCACTGAAGGGTTACAGCTACTTGCTCGCTGCAGAGAAACAGACTGCATGAGAGCCTAATGGCAGGATTCAGACATGTTTGTGTGTTGGGGTGATTTTACAGCTTTATCAGAGAATTTGCTTTGACCTCATCAGCATTTCTTTAATGCTTTAACATGAGCTAAATTTTGTTTTAACCAAGTCAAAATTTCTAACAGTCAGTCATATGCCTTGCCAGATATCTAAGAGAAATAACTCTGCATGTGCTATTTCGTTTGCACAAGACATACAAAGGATAGATACTTTCTGATTATGTTTGAAAATACATTTATAAAGAAAATA